ACTGAAAGCATTTATGAAATGACATTTTCATTGCCTTGTCTTAAAGAAGAAATATTAAAAATTTTAGGCCACTTTCACAGTGTTATTGAAGTTCTCTGATGCACAACCATTAGTGAGATAAGAAAGTCATGTTGTCTACTGTTTCTTATAACCCATCACAGTCTCCAGAAGCAGTCAAGACGGCCAATCCAATTAATCTTGAAAACCATCAAAGTCCAAACACATTTTGACAAGCAAACGGGTGGGATATTAACATTAGCACAAACAGAAGACACAATTTGATTCTGAGAGCTCCAGGAGCCTGCAAAGCAATGAGAGCTTAATGTCAAAGGCTGACTGACTGTGAATAAATCAGCTCTGGGAAAAATTAGAATTCCTAGATGATAAGTGACAGATGTCCCTCATGCTAGAATGACTTTCAGGCCACTTCATTTGAATTTTATTAGGAGAGGAAGAAAAACAGAGTTACAGAGCAAAAGCAAAACGCTTCAAGGTTGTGTGTGGTGGGTTATAAACTAGTCTGCCTGTGTCAGGATGGCTTATTTCATTCAGTTGGTCCAGAATAAAAATTAGCAGATAAAAAATACACTTTCGGTATAAAAAAGGGGACAGTGTACTTCCTGAAATTTAAAAAGCATTATTTTTTTACAGTTTCCAATGGTGAACAAACACAATGGGAAAGTGCTCTGCTGAAGCAATGAGTAGGCAGGCTTCCTTGCCAATAGCTCCACTCTGCACACAATGTCCCCACAGACCTGGCTGAAAGTGGCCACCAACCAGAGAGGTCTCATCTTCACATTTCACATCTTCACATCTGACAGTATGAAGTGCCCCTGGTTCTAAAGGTGCTAAATAAAATTATGGAGGAGTGGTCTTGCAGGGGCTATCAGGACCACATCCTGGATGACACTGCAAGAGGATATGCTTGTATCCTGGGTGAGCTGAATGTTGGGAGGGCATGTTATAGAAAACAGCACTGCAGGGTTGAACGTTCTTCACCAAACTCCTGGGGAAGCTGTGATTTTAATAAAATGGCATATTTAAAGAGAATACCTTCCATCAGAAAAATTCTGGCCACCCTTCAATAATGCAGTTTTAGGTACCAGCTTTATTCTTAGGCAACATCTCTAAATGAAAGTGTTCGCAGGCCTAATGTGAAGTCCAAGGCCGGTGAGTAACCTCATGCAAACTGATTTATTTCAAAGGTGAAAAGGACTGTTATTCTGAGCAGAAGAGGAGTAGTACAAGGAAAATACAGCTGCACAGTATCTGGCAGGGAACCAAATAATTTCTTTCATGATTCACTTTCAACCTTCTTGCCAACTGCATGCCATGTCACAGTTTCAGAAAGGCACCAAAAAACAGTGCCGGCAGAGCTCACTCTGTCAATCCCAGCACCAAGAGGACTGAGTCTGCACCCAGGTCCCAGGAACAGTGGGTCCCTGCTTGGTAGCCCCATCTAATCACGATGTGCCCTGCACTAATGGCACAGGAGTGGCACGTGAGGAGGACATTAGCTAGGAGAGGAAAAACAGGACAACATACCCTGGTCTTATTCTGGATTAGTTTGTACAATTTAATTCTTATTCTCCACAGACTTATAAGGGTGTTCAGCTGCAAACCTATGATTAAGTTCAGGCAAAGTCAGTGAAACTGCTGACCTAATAAATTTATATAATTGCTTCATATTTTGCAGAATAATTGCCTGCATTGTCCACATGTGTCTATTGTATAATGGAGACTAAAATATCAGCCAAGAAAACTTCAAAACATTAGAATTATGACCCAGGAGTATGGATGGTGTTGAAAACTGGAATTAAAGTTGTAGAATCCATGTGTTTGGTCCCTACAACAATGGGATCCTGTAAATGTTCCAAGGAACAACTGGTCACATATCAAATTAACAAAACTTTTCTGACATGTTGATGCATTGATGCATGAGGTTTTGTTTCTGCAGAGGTGTACATACATCTCCACAGGAAGTGCTACCTATCATCCAGACCTCAGAACTTTAGAATAGTTTTATAAAACCAAGTCATTTATTCCAGTGATTCAAATCCCAGTAAATCAAAGCACACAAATAGGCCTTTGCATAAATGGGACAAGTGCCAAACACCCTAGAAGTCAGGACAAGTGGTTTTTTTAGTTTGCATCTGGGTGCTGACTTAGGGAAGGATCATGATTTGTGACTTACTTTCATCTGAACACAGAGCCAGCATGAGGACTAAGTGAAAACTGTTTTATTATTCTGTCTTTCTCACTGCAAACTTGAAAAAAAAGATCTAATTTATGTATTGAAATAAAGATTAAAGTGCTTTGAAGAGAGGTTGAAAGGTCCTCTGTTCACCACAAAGCCTTTTAAAACATTTATTTCTTCAGGAGCTACTAAGACATCTGAACAGCTTTAAAACTGCCACAGAGTTCTCTGGGTTGCATCCCTTCTACTGGCATTTCAAGTAACCAAGACTGAAAAGTGTTGAGGTTATTGCAGAATCAGAATTTTCTTTAAAAAAAAAAAGATTAATAGCTCTAAGTGAGATGCAATTCCAATATGAATTGAATAGAGGTGTGTGACAGAGAAATAGTGAAACACCTAAGTCAGTTACTGCCAACTTTTAAGCAGGGTCATGCTTACAGCCACTGATCTACCTGCCCAATATTCAGCTTCCATTCAAGTATTGGCAAGTTGAAAAGAATTCCAAAATGAGCTCCATGAGCAACATAAGCTCTGGGAAAATAATACAGCATGCATTTCCCAAGGCTTGGTCTATTTTTTTATCCAGGAGATATTAAGGACTTGAGCACAACGTTACAGTATTGCCACGTTGCTCCTCTCACAAGCTATGTAAACAAGACAACCACAACCTTTGAATCTGCAGAACCTGTCATTTTGGAAAAAAAGGGAAATGCATCACAGGCTGACCTTTGTTCAACTACTCATAAAGCTTCCTTTACTCACGAACAGAAACTTTTGTAAAGTGCTTATACCATGGGTGACTCAGAAGAAAATACCTCTTCAGCTAAACTGACATTCTCGAATTAATTCCCAGCCTGCAGCACACCGTTTATCTCAGGTCCCCTACACCTCAACATCACTCTTTTCTCTCTCATTGACACCTTACTGTTCAAGACATAATTTTTCTCTTAACTGCTGGCAGACAAAGTATTACCTTCACCGACACCCCCTTCTACCTGCTTCTCAAGAAAATCTGTGTCACTGCTACAGTGCTAGTGCTGACACTTGTTGTTCAGGGTCTGACTCTACGCACGGCTTTAAGACAGAGAGGAAGGGTCACTCTCCCGAGTGGTAGCTGGGCCCACCACTGACTTGATTCATTACCCACCTGAAATGACACACGGTACAAACCACAGCATACACCACAAGCATAGGGAACCTGCCCACGTAAGACAATGTTTGGTTTATTTAAATTGTAATTAGATACAGAAAAAAAAGTTTTAAAAGCCCCACCCCACCCCACCCTGTCCCCCCTCGCTGAAACCTTCTTTCTCTTCAGAGTGATTTACAGCAGATTCATGAAGAGCAGAAGATGGCTGAAGGGCTGTGACTGCGTCCCAGGGCAGCAGAAGGTGTCTAAGAGGGATGGGCAGGCCCAAGGGAGAAGGACCACAGCACAAGCCTCTTTCAAAAGCAAAACAATTGTGCTGGAAGGTAGGTCAGAGCCAACACCTCCACACCTTCCACGCAACATTTCATCCTCATAATTAAAGGCTAGGATGACTTTGAGGATGCATTATGAAAAACAAACTCCCTTTTGGTTTTAAATAGGTTGAATTACATCAACTCATACAAAATGAGAAGCATTAGTTTGCTTCTCTTGGGGGAACATGTTGTTTCTAGGGGAAAATGCAGCAGAAACATATTTACTGGTGCCAAAGAGGAGCTGGAAACATTGCTGGTGTCAGAAGAGACTATGTTTTGAAAAAAACCCCATAACTTGATCTGCAGTTACAAGAGTCTTTCTGAAATTGGCCTAGTGTAGGGAGCAAAACAGAAGTGGGTGTTCTCAAGCTATATCCAGACCACCAACACTGTAAAAATGGCACCCACGGGCAGAACTTAGGTGTTTAAGTATCCCGTGTGATTGAGTCTGACTATTCTTGAGTGCTATCTCTTAAAAACCCTGAAAATTAAGAACTCCTTCACTTATGGCAGCAGCATTTCCAAGGTCTCCACACACAGGCTTTCAGTATAAGCATTAAGTACAAGTACTTTTGTGCCTAACGCTGGAATCCCACTTCACACCAAAAAGCTTTCCCATAATTTAAGGATATGCAGAGACAAACTCCATCCAACCTTTGGAGAGGTCCACTCTAGAAGACATGTTCTCACCTAAATCACCTGGGATGCAATGACTTCAACATTGGGCTCATTAGTTAAGTTAGCTCTTCTCTAAAACACCGAGGAAAGAGGTAGTGTAGGAGGACAAGTGCCTATTTAAGTGACTGGAAAGCATTAAAACTGGCATAAGTGATACTCGGTACCACTTACAGCTCTGGTTCCTTTGGGTGCAGGGTGAGAGATAGGAGACACAGAGGAAAGCACTGTTTCAAAACAGGAAAGCAGGATATACTAAAGTGGCAGTGGGAACCCTGCAGTGAGGGTTTTTTTCAGAAAATATACTGAATGCTATTCCCTAGTAAATGGCTTAACAACTGTTATTGTTATCATAATATAGCTGGAGTGAAATTAAGGATTAGACATGGGCATTTTGAAGAATTCCTCACCCTTTTGATTTAAGCTGCATTACTCAATGCCACAGCGCAGAATTTTCTGAATGGCAAAGTCATGATTTGCTACAAAATCTCAAGTAAATCTTAGAAATAATGTAGGAAAATATTCACTTGGCTAGGGAACACCACTTAGCCCCTCTTTGCAAGACACAAGAGCTTTCCAGAGTACACAGGACTTGATCTGCTTCTCTCTGAATAAATAATGCTCTTCCATTGCACACATACACATACCAAATTAACATTCTTACCTTATCTTTATTTTCAGAGCCAGAATCCTCAAGTTTGGTCCGTATGACAAAGGGAGTAGATAATCTCAGGAGAACTCGTTCAAACGTGGCACTGATTTTAGGGGAAACTATGTCGAAGCAGTCTTGGAATTTCAGAGTTTTATGAGTGTCACATCTGAGCTGCTTTCTAAGACCTTCTCCAAGCTGGAGAACTAGCATGTTCGGATCAAACATCAGGTGAAAGGGGAAAGCTCTGCAGAAGGTGCTGATGCTAATCCTCAGGTCTAATGGGGACTGGGAAGTTCCTGGTGGAAGTGCTTTTGTGATATTTGCATTTTCATGTTCTTTGATAAGGAAAGTCAGACAACTGCAGTTACCTGGGTTCGTCCCCTCTGAACACAACTTATCATTAGTGACCTGTTCTACTTCCACTTCCAAGCGGTAAATCTTCTTTGCTGCTGCCTTTATCATCCCCACCATTGCAAATCCCACAATCTGATGCGGGTGAAAGTAATGAAGCATGAGATTGCCTTCAGGGAGCTCTTTGCATAGGAAAGAAGGAGATTCCAGGGTGGCCTGTCTTCCAAATGAAGTTCTAATATGCTCCAGCAAAGCATCAAAGCCATTGAAGAAATCCTGAAGGGTCCCACCCACAGCTCGAAGAACTCTTTCATTTTCATCAAAGCAGATATTGAAGAATTCCTCCCCAAACTTTTCTTGCATTTCCTCAAACTTCAAGCCTATAGGACAATAAGACACTAATATGAACAACACAGTAATGCTAGTGTCACATTTTCCCTTTGTTCTCTACTCGCACAGTACTCTTCCGAGACAGTGAGAGTGGCTTTTTCACTGGGTTACCTACCCATAAGAATCTTTTTTCCTCTGGTGGTTGGGAATAACCCTTGAAACCATTTTTGCCTGTCATTTTAAGTCGTCATGCTTGCAGCTTGCTGTCCCAGCCAGCTACTTGTGGGATTTACACTTGCCTGTCTCCTTTTCTCAGTTGGAAGCCAGAAGATGTTATAATTTCCCAGAAAGTTGCACGTCACATGCAGTCTGCTGTGTGCATGCACCCACCCACGGGTGCACCCCTTCTATTGCTGACTTAGCCACAAACAAGGCTCCTGCTTTCATAGTCCTTCTGTTCACTGCCTCTGTGAGGGATCTAGCTTGGTAAGCTTGAAGAATAAGCTGCTGGACTCAGAGTCAGGCCTTTGTCTTTCAATAAGCAATGTAAAGTCCTGTAGACAGATGACAGTTTAGAAACTAGGTGAGTCAAGTTGAGGGCTTTGGGTTTTCTTTTCAGACAAAACAGTTTTCTCATCATAGGTATTGGGTATGGCCAGAAGATAGAAAGGAATAATTGCTTTTTTTTTTTTTTGTGGCCTACAAAAGACAGCAAACTCTTTCTATTTTAGGCTTCTATGCTCTCCCATCTCCAAAACACTCTGCCTCTTAGAGCAATCTAAACGGCTAGTAGATGGGACAGCTCTGTGATATCTCACAATGTCACTTCAAGTCTCCATCACAGAGATGCAAAAGGTTTTGATTTACACAGGTGATAAGGCTGGTATTGCTGAAGGGTTGAAAAAAATCAGCTATAGAAGCCCCTGGATACAAAAGTGTATCAAATCCTACTCTAACGTTATTTACCATTTTAAGGATAACCTGGTAAAAGTAATTTTGAGATGGTTATTAAACATTTTCCTCTCTCTTATTTTAGGGAAGACATACTCTGTTAAGTTTCACCTGTATATAATCCCTTTATTACATAGCAGAGTTACAAAATTAATCAGATATGTTTGTATTGCTCTATGCTGTAATAGAAGAAAAAAAGTATGAATTAGCTGTATGTGAATTAAAAATATCCATCAAGAGTTTAAAATGAAATTAATATAGGAATTAACAACATAGTTCCTTCAGTGTATTGAAATCAAATCAGAACACACTTCAATCAACTAGTCAAACATCTTTAAAATTTCTCTTGAACTCAAACAGCAACAAAGGGCAGTTACTTATTTCCTAAGAGCACAACAGGCCCTTTATTTTAATATGTATTCAGCATGCTTTATAAAATTGGTAAGGTCCCAGTGGATCACTGAACTTCTCATTGTTTGTTTAGATTGCTTGTAGGCTTCTAAATTTGGAAGAACTTGATTAGTGACTTTCATGCCCAAGAGGTTAAGCAGGGGACACAAGAAGTCATGTATCTCTTGTTTGCACACAGTAACCTCTGATCAGCTCAAGGCAGAGCCTGAACTACCTATGCACACAGGTATACTTAGTAATGATCAATATTGACAAGAGATCTGAGTATTCCACAGCTTTGCAAACTATCCACAGCAATAGTTTTGTTTGGACCTTCGACAGGATTAATAGCAGATTAAAATGCATCCAATTATATATATGAACAGGACAACACAACAACAGGACAAAGCATGTTTTATAAAAGAATAGTAATAATCTGGGAAAGTTCATTCAAATGCCATTACTCATAATCAAATCTGGTCACTAAACTAGGTTATTACAAAAATATTCCCAGGACCTTTTATGACCACAGATGGTCCGATCTGTGGCTAAGCCAAAAGAAAGTACCTCTGGTACACAATGCCCCCTGATATCCTGACTCAGAGGACAGCGTGCCAATTCCTGACTCATTAGCACTATGTCTGCATAACACAGTATTGTACCATCTTCCGTAACAATACTCGCTGTAACCCCAAAAGCATTCAACTCTAATCCACACCAATAACATTGTCATAATTGGGCATTACTAGCAAGGAGCTAAGAAATTACCATATTCATAGGTATACACAAGCACGTGCATACTTTTGAACCTCACTGTTCTGCACAGTGAACCGTGAGTAGCTTTAGAAGGCTGTGTGCAGAAGGGAGCAGTCTAGCAGGGGCAGCCAAGGCTGCAAGATTGCAAAGGCCCTCCAAGTATGGGAACAGGAGAGTACTAGAAACCCCTGGGCTATTCATACAAATGACCAAATACTGTTACAGAATCATATAACATCCCAAAATGCTGCCCAGAACGATAGGTGAGCTTTCTTAGAGTGTATTATAAAATTACAGTAAAACAGTTGCCCTGGCACCACTACCTGAAAAGTGCAGGACTGATCACATCTGTACTTTACTGCTACACATGGAAGCTACTATCATTAAGGGAAGCTGTATCTCAGTGCTCAGCCTCAGGTTCTCCTGATTGTCTTAGACTGGTCTTTCTGTCTGCCCTGGAGATCTTGCTGTTCAATGTGGACATAACTTACTGGCTCCAAGCAACATAAATTATACCACGAAATTTGTGTCAATGGCCTGGCTTGGGGACATGCTTCTACCTTAAAAAACATTTTCGTTTTGAATTGAGTCACACACAGTACCAGCAGAAAATAAGGTTAGCTCAGAAGGGAAAAATAGATATGCCCAAACTAGACCAAACTCCTGGTATGTCTCAGTCAGGAATTCATGCTCTCCAATAATAGATAGTATGAGATACTGAGAAAACTAAACTAAGTCAAACAACCTTCTAAAACAAACAAGTCTAACATACCTATCAGAGAAATTTTTTCCTAAGCCTCATAATAAAAGGTGAATTTTTGTTTGAAGCATGATGGGTTAAATCAAAACTCTTCATTTTTATTTCTATTTCTATTTCTACTCTGTATTTCTACAAAGCTCTTGGCTTTAGCGATGAGATTGCATGAAGCTGCACAAAACACTTAATCGGTA